AAAAAAGAAAATGGGACACTATTTACCACTGGCCAAGATTTATAATTTTCAAATTTTCCCCCTTAGCTCAATTGACATTCAAAAGGGTATTAAGCATTTAGAAAAATAAATTCAATATCATCTCTATTTACAGAGTAAAATCCAAAGTTCATTAAATTGGAGTTAATTTCGGGACAATGTTAACTTCCAAAATTAGGCAAGAATGGCATGTAGGGAAAAGAAAAGAGCCCACCTTAAAACAGTTATGTCTTTGTGTGTGCATGCGTGTGCGTGTATGCAGAACTCTACACGCTTTGTGGCAATGGGTGCTTTCAGAAGATACACACATACACACACACACATATATACACAGAGAGAGAGAGACAGAGAAGGAACCACTGTGATTTTTTAAAGTCCTTGACAAACGATGACAAAAAAAATCTATAACATTATATATTGCCTCTTATTGCTGACTGAACCAATGAATATAAACTTTAAAACAGTAACAAGTGAAACACACAAAAGGAAAAAGAAACCGATCAGGGCTATAACCACCTACAAACAGAAAATGATAGTTTCAACTTTTTAAAGAATTTTCTAGCAACCTAACTTTCCTCTCTGAGAGTTTCCCTAAGTGGAAGGAACAGATTTTGCCTTCTCCACTTGGCAGATAAAAAACAGGTGCAGAGGCATTCGGTGACTTGCCTAAAATTAATGACAGCACTGGAAGTACTATTTCTACTTTTCTAACTATTCCAAACAGTGTACCTTGAGAAAACACATAGAAGAGCCAAAAACCCAAAGATGGAATAACAACCCTGAAAACTGGAGCATTTTACTATTTCCAAAATTTCAGGGGAATGGAAATTTTAGAATACTTGTTAAATCTAAATTGAAAAGAATTAACAAAAAGCTGTAGACATCAACAGCTTTTCTTAGCATTCTATTATAGTATTTACCTGCATGGCCCACAAATATTAATATATTTCAGGCACTTCAGAGCATAAACCATAAAACACATTTAAATGATAAAAATGATAAAAGAAAAGATGATCACTATAAAACCAGCAATCAGAAAACCCTCCATCTTTGAGTATATAACTACTTTTTTATACTTAGGTCCAATAAGTCCCACCCAAGACTTTTAGAGAGAAGGAAGTATGGCAAAACTGACAGAATACCTCTCAAGAAGACAAGATACAATTGAGCACTAGAGGATCCACCCAACAAGTGACACTGGGCAAGTCTCAATTTCCATAGTCCTTAGGTGCCTCACATATAAATTGGGGAAATTATTTCACCTGCCTGCCTAAAGCTGAAGCAAAATTAGATAATCTCTTGAAGACTATGAATCTACAAAGGACTGAAAAGTCAATCTTGCTTCTGAAATTTGAACTACTGTTGAAAGCTCTCAGCAATATTGTGGATTGAACTCATGGCCTTGGCTTCAGGACTCAATGGGGTGGGGGCTGGGGGCCAGAAAGAAGACTGAAAAATTAAAACCCCAGGCCTGTGCCATGGACCTGAGTTTACCCAACCCATGTAGAATGAGAATTCTAAAGGAAAAAAACAGTATGGACTCAAATATCTATAGGAATTAATAAACAGTAAAGATAATACTTCAAGTGTTAGGAACAAAGTTTATTATTCCCTTTTGGAAATGATGTTGGGATAACTAGATAGCACTCCGTTAAA